ACGGAACTCAAAGATGTTAGAAGAGCAATAGAGTACGTAGTAACACAACCGCGGAGAAGTCCCATTACAGAAAGTCAAGAGTCGTGATGCAACTGGCATCGCTGCGTATATACCAGACCACTTCCATTTTCGGCCACGCGATGATTATCCAATCACGATCTCCTGGCCCCAGGTCGATTCTAATTCCAGCACGTGAAGTCCAGCTTAACAGTCTGTGTGCGCATCCAATGGTGTTCGTGCAGCTTTCATTACATCGCGACGTTCACGTTTCGATCCCGCTTTTATCCCGACACGGAAAGCTCATCGATCATAACCCCGGCGATCGTCCGATCTCGAGCGTGTCTGTCCTTCTCACTCTCTCTCTATTTCTCTCTATCCGCGTGTCGATCTCGACTTTTGCCACCGAGGACAAAAATCACGAGAGGTCGGAGGCGGAAGGTGAGAGGGAAAGGAAAGGGAACAAGAGAATGAGGGTTCGACGAGTCGGTGCAATCAATTTACAAAACGCGAGCCTCCTGCCCCAGGGCCCCCCTATCTAGATCCAATATCTTACGGTCCTAATCCGTGCCAAGATCGATCTCCGACGACTCTTCGGATCCTTATCGATGTTGGTCGGAATCGACGCGCGCGCGCGGGACCCGACTCACTGGGGAAGAGGGGATGATTTCTTGGTTTTCACTAATGCCGAACGTATAACAAGAAAATTATCCACACGAGAGCCCGTCGATAATAGAAGGGACGGACGATGAGCAAAAGAAAGGGAGGCTGCTGCCCTCCACCCCGAATGCTTGGCCCTAACCAAGAGTGGTGGGGTGGGCTTTGGTTTTCTGGTACGGCTCGCAACAATGTCCGATGGCCCCGTGGACCTGGTGTGTCCTATCCCGAGCATAATGGTCGCGAAAAATCATCTATTATCCTTCGACGGAGGAAGAAAGAGAGAGCGAGAGAGGAATAGAGGAGACCAGTTCTGAATACACCGGCACAATGGCGTACGCCCATATATCACTCCGGAGATTTTCCGAAAACTGCAGCTCAATGAGTCTACCTACTAAGAAACGCATTCACGGAAAGATGGAACTCCAGATTGCTTTTATACTGCGCCTCTTCAAGGTGCGAGAACCGTGTGTCCCGGGTGTCTGTGGCTCGAGGCTACGCCGAGACGGAAGTGTATCGATAATAAATCTTCCCCTGGGCGGCTGTATATTATACGGTACGCCGCTGCAGATTTCTTTCTCGTTTCATTCTCGTATCCGTTTTCCCAAGTTAATTCACAATACGATGATGATTTTCACGAAGATCCTCTGGTATCTCAAGCTCGAAGCAAATTGGCTTCGTTGTTCAAGTTAACCCTGTTCCGTACCTCATTTTCCCAACTTAATTTGTCTCTCTATGTCAAATTGACACTGCGGTAAAAAATTAAAAATTGTGGAATTGACACACGGGACTGATGAGGGTTAATAGAATAATGTTTCGTTTTATTAATTTCGGTTACCCTTACGACAACCTTGGTTTTTGTTTCAATCTGTTCGTTTATGCATCATTGTTTCCCGTTGTCTTGTGCCCACGGCGTGGGACATCGTGGATCTCGAAATAAACGCGCGCGCGCACGTATCGAAACGCACACGCGTCCACGCCGCGCATGTGCCTTCCTCTCCTTTCTCTTCGATCCCTGCCGTAGCCAAAACGATTATAATAACTATTTTATCCGGCGCGGATCTGGGCCATTGTGCCTCCCCATTCTGAAAGTCATAACACGGTGCCTACACTGCCCTTCGGGAACTGCTCCACGAGAGGCTCCCTTTTCGCTGCACCACGATCTATAACCCGCTGCACCATGAATCTCGAGTTTATATACGCGTCTGTGGTCCTATCCCTGTATGTGCGTACGTGTATGTGTTCACTATTCTCTTCACAACGACGCATTCTCACGAATACGGACAACTGTGTAACAGAATTTGTATCAACGTATTTAGAGTCACTCATATACAAAGATATAGAAACAGATTGTCGTGTAGACTAATGGAACAGTAACTCATTATTCAGTTACGACATAACAAATTTACAAATTAGTGTATCCGATACTCGTGCCTTCCTAATCGACGTGTCTATTGTATTACTGAAAATACACGAAGAACAATCGAACATCGTTGAAATCGTACAGATTTTCAGCGACAGAAAAAGAAATTCTCTCTCGAAAATCCTTCGTACATGGTTCAAACTTCCATCCGGTTAAATCTCCCTCTCGAAGAAGAATCCAGTCGCGGTGCTGGCACGGGTAAAGGTAGAAAGCAACGTATCCGTGCCGTGTGTATCGAAGGCGTCGTCTTCCTGTATACGGGTCCCGGCCGTGTGCACGCACACGCGTAGAGCGGTTAGCGTGCGCGCGGTGCCACGACAGAATGCCAGATACGTAGGAGAGACGACGCGCGGAGCTTTTATTTATCTGCTATTTATTTGCCAACGTGCTCGGCTACCGAAGCGATCCCGGGCGGGCTCACGACCCTGCCGGGGACAGATTTGAAAAGTTATTAATCGTCCCCGTTTTTGGGGGAAGGAGAGAGAGTCTTCTCGCGCACGGCCAGAAACCCCGAGACACGTTGTATCTCTCTTTCTCTCCTTTATGCTCAGCCGCCGGGGGAATAACCAGGCGTCGTTGGCACCTCGCTTCGAACCCTCGTTTCGATTGGTTCGGGAAGGTTATACCTCGAGGAGGTGCGAATCTGTGGGTGGAGACGATTCACACCGGTGTGGATCGAATGGGATGTGAAGATGATCGGCTCGGAACACGTGGGGACATCCAGAGATCTCTGTATATCAACGTATACATAGATATAAGTATACACAATGTGAACAGTCGTTTGCCAATTACTTCTCTATGCTCCAATCTTCATGAATTACTTTGTAAAACGTAATTTTGCATCGATATCGGCATTGGTTCAGGAAACCTTTGACCGAGATTCTCTAATCATGCTGCAAACTGGAATATAGAAGTTTCTAAATAAAAAAAAATCAAGACGAGAATTAGTCTCGGTCTAATCTCGAACGAAGTGGTTGTAAATCAAACTCTTTCGGTTACGGTTCAATGGTAGGCGTCGGCGTTAAAATCAACGAAGCACCGAGAACTCCTCCTGGACTGGTAGCCGCAACAGCGTGGCGAGAGAATTTGAAGCATAGTCATGTGAAACGTCAGATAAGCTGGGCGACACCGCGAGCGCGCGCGCGGAACCCGGCTATCTTTCCAGGTTCATAAATATTTAAGACGCCTTCTTATGACGGGCGCACAGCCTGCCATAAGCGCCCGAGCCAGTCGACGCGGTCCGAGAACGATTTAAATATAATCTGTGCCGCGGCGATACGTCACCGGAACATGGCAATGTTATCGCGCTTTTCACACGTGAGATGAATAACGACGTCGCTCGACCGCTGCCGGCGCGAAAACTTAACCACACGCTTCTTTGTCGCCATTCGCACCCGATGTCGACTTTCCACGCGATACCACCACCGGACCGATCGCATTAATAACGCGACGCTGGCTTTCCCGCGAAGACGAGAAGGAAAAAATAAATGAATTGCTCACGAGTGGAGGTCGGAGCGATGCAAATAAGAAAGAAGAAAAAGACCAAAGTTGTAGCACTGACACCATTCGCTCGTTAACAGAAGCGAACGAAACTTTCTAATTTTGAATGATTTCGCGCTAAAACTACCAAGGCATTTCGAAGACGACTTGTATACCCCTTTTACCAAGGTGACAGAAAAAAAATACATTCATATCTTAGGTACTTCCAGCATTAAACGACCATTTAACGTTCCACCTAATCCACGATCATCCTTCGCGAGCAAAGTTAATCTCCTCGTAAGTAACAACAAACGGAAGATCTTCGAGGCGTACAGAGAAGACAAGATGGAAGGAAAATCTTCGAGCAACGATAAGAACCGTCTCAGCTCTCGAAACGTACATGTATACATACATATCCCATTTCAGCGGGTCCTCGTTTTTACGTTCCCGCTAACGCCTATCTCCAATTCAAGCCCAGGCGACTCTCCCCCGTTTTTCTCGGTCGAAGACGGCGGTGCAGGGGAGGAGAGAAGTTGGCCACCATTTTCCCCATAAAAAATCCGCCAAGTTTGCGCTTCCTGTTCGCGCGTCTCCGGGTGCTTCTCTCTCCGGAGTAGAGCGCCAGGAGGAAGTCCCGGAAAAGGGTGTCTACGCGAAAGGAGGGGACGGGGGAGGAAAGAGGAGGATGACGGCGAGGGTGTGAGCCGACGGTAAAATATATTCCAGTCAACTTCCGGTGGAAATAAATAAGAGTCACGCCACCACGGTCTCCGTCGCGCCCCGACGACGGCGGCCATTCGTGTGCGGGGGAGCTTATCTCTCGATATCTTCTCTGCCTCTCCCGGCCCCAGGCGAAGAACAGAGAGAGAGAGAGAGAGAGAATGTTCTCCGGCCGGTGCTCATCAAGATATCCGGAAATCATGATGAAACCGTCCCGCGATACCGATGCAATCGCGTTTTCGTAGACTCGGCCTGTGTGTAGCCCGCGCAAATCGCCGCGAGCCCTTTTTCCCCACTTTGCCCCCCCCCCCAGCCCATCACGACGGAAAAAGATTTTTCCTGTTGTTTCGCGCGCTGGGTGGTTTTCTACTCGCAACAACCGTCCCCGTTGCGCGTTCTTTATGCGCGCGATAATTGCACGCCGTGAACGCGCAGGAACTTCCGGGGAAGGAAGGAAACGCTGGTACTACATGAAAACTGACTTGGTGAGGGAGAAATAGTATGCGCCGATGGATCTTTGTAACGATACACCTGATGTTTGTTTATCAAGTCGTAGATTACACGTACAGGGAGCTATAGATCAACGTCCACGTGGCTATCCCATTTCGTTACTACGGTAGCAATGCAAAGAGGAACCTATTTTTCAATTATCGCCCCCGTTGGTATCGTGTCTCAATTACGAAAAGTCCATTAATAATATCTCCGTGTTCTTTTTTGTTTCCAGGCGAGAAACCGTTCAAGTGCGAATACTCCGGCTGCGAGAGGCGGTTCGCGAACAGCAGCGATCGGAAGAAGCACAGTCACGTCCACACGTCGGACAAGCCTTACAATTGTCGGGTCTCCGGCTGCGACAAGTCTTATACCCATCCGAGTTCGTTGCGCAAGCATATGAAGGTACGATAATCGAGCCACGGCAAACAGCCTACGGCTGTACCTCGGAACAACTCCATCCGTTTTATCCCGTTTCCTTCAATTATATTATCCAACGCTTGTTCTTTCGTGCCCCGGAGGCGAATTCGCGTAAACAGTAGCCAGTGCATGTAATTAAGCTCGTTCACGAGGATCGTCGGTAGTGTATCCTGTTCTTCACCTCCCTTCGGCATCGAATTATCATAACTTGGGCATTCTTCCTTCTTCTTTTTTTTTTGCATAGCGGCCCCGAAACGTATCGAGGTGTATCGGGAGAACCCCGCGTGGTTTACTTCAGTTTCGTTTCACGCTAGGCGAAAGGCCGGTAGAGACACAAGAGAACAGGCGTATAAGAAAAAGTATATACACAGGCCTGTGGGAAGAGATGTTCCCGGGTATCCACGGCGCAAGGTTCATGCACGAACGGACACGGAATCTTAATAGGAAATTATCTGTGGCACACCAAACGAGGGTGATGGGGGAGGGAAGGAGGGAGGGTAGGGTAGAACCGTCCAAAAGGCAACTCCCGAGATACGTGCGCGATAGGTTCGTCGGATAGGGAACGAGCGCCTTTCGCTTCTCCACGCTTTTCGCCGGGGCCGTGATTCGCGGAAGGCAGTCGTCGAGATTTGCTCACTGAATTATGAACGAAGGACCAGGCGCGCGGCAGCGCGGGCACAGAGAGAACGGGAAACGTTCGCCTTGATCCCCGGTTCTCCCTGATCCCCCCCGAGGCTTCTTCGGTTCATCTAACGCGGCGACGACCACCTTCGTCCAGCAGCAGCAGCTAACTCCTTTTGCTCGTGATTCCCTTGATCTCCGAGGCGATAACTTACGACGATCAAATACACAACTAGCTCTGCGTTTTCTTTCGGGTTACACGTTCCAGCTACCCGCCTCCCTCCTGGGACACGTACCGCGCCATGGATCACACATTTCACCCCCCGCGGTATAATTCTCGCCGCCCCCGGTGGAAAAGTAAATTAAGACTGGAAGGATTTACGGAGAAGCCTCTCCCTCGATCCTTAGGTGGCATTAACGCTCTAGGATCACCAGTTAGACGCTACGCGTAGGAACGGTTTAAGGGAGGTTTTTCGGATAGAGAAGAGACGCGCTGGTAATCTTGCGGGTTTCGTCGCCTTTTGTCGCTTCGCTTCCCTGAATTATCCTTCGAACTCTTCGGAATTCCAAGCCTTTGCTGATCTCTACTGGGCATTAAAAAAGAGCGTTCAGTAACACCACCGCTATATTAATATTTCAATGTCTGCTAATTATGCGTTGTATGTACACTCAGTACACCACTATCCCCCACCCTCTTGTTAACGCTCCGTATAATTCCTTTATTATACAGATTATGCTGCTTTTGTCACTAATTAACCGAATTCCCGATTATCACCATCCCAACCCCCCGTGGAACTCCTCCTCCAGCTAAAACCTAACAGTTTTTCATACCCCATCCCCTCCCCTAGAGAAGAACATGCCCCGAGGGTAACCGAAATCTAACGTTAGGCTCCGCCTTCTTCTTTCCAGGTGCACGGCATGACCCTGGGCGAGGGCAAGATTGGAGGGGGCTACGAGAGCGAGGGTGAAGAGAGCAGCAGCAGCGGGGGTAGCTTGTCCGTGACCGGGCACACGGAGTCACCTCAGCCGCCTTCGGTCGTCCCGACAACGACCACCGCCAATCCACCGTCGAGTCATCCCTCGACACGAGGGCCGGAGCTGACGGAATGGTACGTCTGTCAGCCGCCGACGGTCGGTCCGCAGCACAGCCCGTTGCCAGGACCACCGCCGCCCCATCACCTTGGTCCACACCACTTCAACCCGCTGATGCATCATCAAGCGACTGCCTACTAGTTCGGGACAGACGGATATGTTTAAGGGAACAGCAAGTTTGCTTCGACGGTGATGATCATCCATGGTACAACGTCGACCTGGCCGCACGGAGATGGTCTGCGTTCATTCACGCAAGGAACTGTGATCCAAGAGGCATGGATCTGGGCGACAATCACTCGATCTTCGACGAGACTCACGGAGAAGAAGTTCGCTGACTGACATGTTTCACGGGAATTTGGAAACGTTCGGGTGTCTGGCTTAGACGGAACAGAGGAGGAAGAAGAGTTGAGAATGGAGAGGAAATCCCTGTAATTACCTGGAAGATAGAGGATAGAACAAGAGACATCTAGGATATGATGAATATCATGTCATACGGAGAATCTCGTGACTTTGTTACTACTTTCCGGATTCCAAACTACGTTAGGACAAAATCGTGGAATTGTTTCCAGAGGGAGGTGTTTAAATGATAGGGACTACACTCGCGACCAAAGCTAGATTGGAATTGAATCTTCATTAGACTGTCGTTTAGTATTTATTATCCACGCTTCACGCTCGAAATTCGTTCCACGGACCGATAGGAGAAACATGTTCCGTGTTATCGCCGTCTACCGTGACGGCGAGCCGTTTGTTTTCTTTTTGTTTTCTATAGAACCGCGAACGGAAGTGCTGTGTTCAAGACGTGACTGAAATATCGATGTTCGGGGAACGGGAAAACCAAAAAAGAGTGAATGTTACCGCGTCGATTGAGGTGGTGAGGGGCCGCAATTGTAAATACAATTAACCGCCATTTACGACGCGAAGGTGTCACGCGTTCTTGAACACAAAATAAAAGAAACACAGGTCCGGTGTTTAATCGCGCAGTCACGGATCGGACCACCGGGGCTCGATTCGCGTAACTCTGGCTGAATCGTGTTGTATCGGTTCGTGAGGTTCGACAGACGTCCGAGAGGGTTAATTGTTCCTCTCCGAACCAAGACCAATCCACTTACTCGTTTCTCGCGGTCTCGAATCTAATTGAAGCGTCGACGGAGACTCGCGAATATACTATGGGGTCCGGTTAAACGCGCTTGGCTTCCGCCGCCAGAAACATGAGGGTGTTGACGAACAAACAAAAGAAGAAAGAGAATAAAGAACGGTCATTGTAAATATATTATAGTTAAAAGTTATCGGAGCGGACCGAAAGGTCAAGAAAACGCGAAAGGGGGGGGGGCGACGCGACGTTCGCGTTGTTTGTAAAATACGTACCACGGAATTTTTCTTATGTGTGATATCGTGTAAATACAAAGAGAAAGAGAGAGAAAGAGAGAGCGTTAGGGAGCGACACGCGATTCTAACATTATTGTAATAATTATTAATTTCGTTGTGTATATGCTTCGGTTGTGTGGAAGGGGCGAGCGAGGAAGACAGAGAGAGGTCCCGTACAACGACCATACCTGTATCATATTATATTTGTTTTGCAAAAGATCTGAAATATATTGACGATGCGGTATATTAGAAAACCCTGGCTGATTTATTTGACGCGTCGGACCACCAATTCCTGTTGTTTCAGCGCGGGGGCAAAAAAGGATTTAATTACGTAGCTATTCGTCGGGATTTTAAGATACGTATTTTATTGGTGCCAGCTCGACGTTCGTTCGTTTTTTTTTTCTTCTTCTTCCTCCATTTTTTTTTTCTCTTGATCGAGGAACGATTCATAAATATACGATTTTAATGTCGTATAATTGATTATTGAAAAGCCGGCCGGACGATGACAATGCTACACGAGGAAGAGACCTCCTCCTCGGGCCACGAGGACGACCTTTTTCGTACCCGCGGAGGCGGTGTGGTGGATACTTTATACTTGTATTGTAACGAAATTTATGAACGATCGAGATAATAAAATCCGACGAGGAATTTCGCCTGCCTCGCCAGTTTTCGGGTGAATATCGACCGAACTAAGCGCGTCCACCTTGATCCCGGTCCGGAGATTACGTCGTATCAATAAATAATAACTTTAACGTGTAGAAATTAACGTTTCGTTTTATTGCTCGGCGCGTATATATACCTGACTTTACGAGTGAATTTTAGTGTTCCACGCGATATTATTCGTCGTTCGTCGCGGTTTCCTCGAGGAATCACGTGGTCATTCCCGAGCGTCGACAAATGGTTCCGAGTTAATCTCGAATCTCGAGCCCCCACCGACCTTATCCGGTGTACACGGAGGGGGATACGGTAAGTCTATAAATTTTGAAATCAGCTATAAAATTAAACGACTGTTACATAAGTCTCGAGAAAAAAAAGAATAAGAAACAGTTGGAAACACGTTATTTTGAGGCAAACTTACGAATTGATTTTCGAAGTAATAATAATCAAAGCTCTTCGAATCGTTCGGATTTTCCCACACTACAGAAACAACGTCCAAAGTTACATTCCACAGTTACGACGATTTTATGCAAAACGCATTGCAAGATCCTCCTCGTTACTTCAAGATCCAGGAAAAGGTGTATTTATACATGCAGAAAGTCTAGAGCCCAACTGGTTGTCGAAGATAAAACTAATTTCCACTCGTAAATTAACCGTTGATCACTCGAACTGCAAAAGTAGTCTGCAAAAGAAATCTCGATAGCAGATTCTATGTTTAAAGAACGACGAGAAAACGAAGGAAGATTCAGGAGACGAGTTCCTCCAAGCGATCCTAGTGGCTTCGTGAAACCGTCGCGAATAAAGGGACATCGAGAGTCAGAAAATTCGAAAGGCCGGGCAAACCTGGTGGATTATGGGTATGGGCCATGTCGCGCAGGCTCCGAGATTCCTAGGCGAGATTATAAAAACAGTTTCCTCGCGGGATTATAAATATCGTGTGGGGGGGGGAGTGGTCCCTTATTAAACGGGGGCCCCCGATGCTCGAACGTAAGGAGCATCGTCGACTCCTCGTCGTATTGAGCGGCCGGAGAAGAAAAAAATCGAGCAAGAAATGGAACGCGCGCATCTATATATACGTGTGTGTCCATACACGAGAGAGGTTAGGTCTGGCATGGCGCCACAATGTGTCTAGGCACCTACGCGAGAGAACGGGAGAGAAGAGAGCCGTAGGAGAGATAGCATCGGCATCAATAGGGGGAGAGAGAGGACGGCCGGGCCATTTTATTGCTCGATAAGCAGATGAATTCGTCAGATAATTTCTGGCCCCGGATGCAGATGATTTTATTAGCTGAACCGTACGGGACGCCGGAATTTCTTCGGGGCCGGACGATTGAGATGACACGAGGGGCCCCGGATGAGATCCTCGCCAGGATAAAGGGACGCGTAGATCTCTCTGTCCCGGGTGTCTTTGCATCGCCTCGCGTGATCGATGATTTTCCCCCGGTTTTTGTAATGAATTCTCTCCAACCCTTCTCTCCCTCCTTCTCCTCCTTCGTCCTCTCGATCCTCTTGAGGCCATCAGCCGGTCAGGTTTCGGAATCCACGCGTTGCAGACCCGCGGTTCGTTTCGAAAAATTCGTTACAGTGTCCAGGGCGAATCGGGCTCCGTGGTGCTAAAAGACCGCGAATCTCGTTCCGTGGCTCGATGTCCGTACTCGGAACCGTCCAATCAGTCAAGTCGGTTCTCGGCGGCTGCAATCAAACTTCTCGTCGTTTCACAGAAATCACGGACGGAGGAGCAGCAGCTGGTCTGGGCCCTGGGACCTTCGTCAGAGAACGCACCGAATAAATATTCGTTTCGGCCGAAATAGAAGAAACGAAAAATAAACGGGGAAAAGGGTGTGCGAGGGGGGAGGAGGAGGATCGCCGGGGAGATTCCATCCAGGTCCAGGCGGGCCACAAACGCGAAAAAATAATTCGGTCGCTGGACACACACCGTTCTTTTGTTTTCGCCTTCCCGTCTTCCTTTCTTCTCTTATTTTTCCACCTCGCTCGTAAAGCCGAGATTCGTATTAAAAGACCCGAGACGCGTAATTAATGCCGGCCAGTCACGAAACTCCAAGAGGCGCGCGGTAATGCTTTCTCTCTCGCGCGGGCTACATCAAGAAAACGCGTTACGCGCCCACGGACCGCACATGCGTACACACGTTACAACCGCTTGCACGCATGTCGCGTGCCGGAGAACCTAATCTCAACCGTGGTGCGCGTGAGCGGTGTCCGTTGCGCGTGGACGCGAGAAAAGGGATATTCATTCGCGGGGATAATTAGCTGGAAGTCGGTAGGACTTGCAATTATTACGAAGTACACTCACGACTTCACCCTGCGTTTCTGCTTGGAAGATTGTAAATTCTTTCTTTGACAAACTTCTCCGAGATGGTGAACATCCTACCAGCGCGACATAATGACATATCCGGAAGCGTGAACACCGTGGACGTTTGTATACAATCTTTTCTTATTCGAAAGAACACGTCAGTCGTGGAATGTAATGAGGGAATTTGACTGAAAAGCAAGTGCGTTATCGTGAAGTGCAGTGAATAACGACGTGATATCCGGCGACAGACACTCGTGGGAGGGTCGATCTTTCCCATGACAAGCCGTCATTCCGGAGCGGTAGCAGAGAGTCTCATGATCGTCCATAGAAATGCTCGCGTAACGAGTGACAACTCAGGACTGCAGAATTTATCGGCAACGCACAAAGATAGACAGGGACTCTGGCGAAGACTTACAACGTCAATCGGAAAAAGGATGCGGGAAAATTGGAAGGGGGGAGATGAAAATCGGTGGAGAAAGAAGAGCGGGGTAGGGGAAATCGAAGTCGTTAGCTCCGCGGACACGATCGGCGAGACGACACTTCCGCAGAAACCGACGTAAAACGATGTAAGAGGATTAAAACGGCACGGCCGATTGGCTTCCATTACCGGTCCTGTCCAGGCTGTAAATCCTCCATAAAGCTATTGATAAATCACGCAGGCAACATCGTGCGGTCGCTCGTTCGCGCGACTCGCCTTAACGATCCTCCGGCCTCGCGTTGGGTTACGAAAACCCCTCAACAAAAGGACAGCTTTTTACCTCGTTTTAATGGAAACCGGCCCTGCCCGGGAGCGGTCTTAACGGGAAACCGGGTTGCT